ATATGTTGCAACAGTATATTCCAAAATGTTGCATCTGTTTCAGTCTTCGGTTGCAGCCAATGTTTTCATGTTGCAAGTAGCAAGTGTTCTATCTGGATGTTGCATATGTTTTCACACATATGTTGCAAGTGTATATTCTAGATGTTTCATCTGTTTCAGATGTATGTTGCATTCAAGTGTTTTATGTTGTACGTATTTCCTGCTGTTCGGAGAGTCAGAGGGCGCCTGGGAACGGGGCGCGGCGAGCTGGTGGCTGGAGGAGGTGGCTTGTGGCGCGCTGGGGCCAGTGGTCGGGGGCACGATGGAACGGGGGCGCGTCTACAGGGACGGGGCAAACAGATGGGGATAGGGCGGTGTGCGCCTGCCGGGGCGGGGTGCACGGATGGGGGTAGGTCAGGCGTCCGGGCGGGCTTATCAAGCGTGCGAGCGGCGTCCGATGGAAAACAACTGCATCGAACGCCCGTGCGCTAGCATTTTTCATTATTGAAAGAATAGCGTCCTTAAGTCCTAAAATAGACTTAAAAAATGAGATGACTTAATCTAGATTACCAAGTTTTGTCTAGAAAAATCAATCCGCGGACACGACCGTTTAGACGAACTGTGGCTACGCGATAACTAGAGATCACCGGTTGATCAATGTGCCACTTATATGAAAATACAGCCCAAACAGCTGTTCAAAAGCGTCGATATTGTGCCCGTTCCTCGTCTCCCCCCGAAGGCCCAACAGCATCAGCGCCGACTCCCGAGCGAGGCGCGCCGCTGCGCCGCCGCCAGCCACCGCCACGCGAAGACGACGGGCCGCCGACAGCTATGAACCCGCCCAGGCCCTGCTAACCCCGATCTCCGTCTCCCCAATGCTCTGCAACCGCCCTCAGCTCCAGGCGTCCAGGCTCCAGCCGGCCGGCAGCAACTGAGCTGCCCACGCACGGCGCCCCAGGACTCCGACCCGCCTCCACAGAAGCGCTCCCTATCCGGCTGTCCGCTAGCCCCTGCCCCTGCCCCCTGGTGAGTCAGTAAGAGTCTGCTTCCCTTCAGGATTAGGGATCGTAAAATTGTGCTTAGGGATTGTGCATTTGTGAAATTGGTGTGTGATTCTATATTTTAATGGCCAGTGGTTTGCTCATTGCATAGCTTAGGATGAAATCAAAGCCTAATTTGTGATTTAACATTGCAGTTAAGTGGGTCTGATGTGCCATTTTCTGCTTGTCTGTTGGTTGTCAGGAAGTTCAGGCATGAAGAACAGTGCCGTTTCGCTGAAATTTGGCTTATGCTGATTTATTGTGAGAGAAAAACACTATACGTTCGCTGAAAAGTACTGCTGAAGTAGTGCTGCAGAACAGGGCGAATATATATTTTCATTTACGCAAGTTTTGAATCTAAGGTATTATATGAGACCTTTTAAACATATTATCTTTTTTTTGTTATTTTCTACTTGTATAACGAACGATTTAAATAATCTTGTATATACCCAACTATCTACCGAATTATGTATATGTATTGCCCTGGGTTCAAATCCTAGGTCTACCACTGGAGCCACACCTCCTCCGCCGGATTCCTTATCCACCAGCACGAAGACGCCTGGATCAGGCCAGTACAAAGCCTCACCGACTGCGGCACTGACAGCCCCGTAATAGTGGCCACAGTGAAAGGTGAATGCCAAGGCCCCCTCCATCAGGTCCGGACACCGAGCTGCCGCAGTGAAAGGTGAACACCAAGGTCCCCTTGATCAGTTATCTATTTGGATTCAGTTGATTTAGCTTACCAGTTCGATGGAACTGAAAAAATTGCAGAGCGATCAGTTAACTATTTTGATTATACATGTGTCTGTTTAGCTTATTGGTTAACTGGACGCCTAGCTCTTGCCTCACCAATATTGAAGACCATCTGCTCAGTACACGTTCAGTCATTTTCACGACAAAATCCTCAGAACACTGCTGTTTTTTTATTTGTACTGCTTTTCCAGCTTTACAATATATTGGAATGCATGCCTTTTTTTTAATTGATGGTCAATCTGGTGGAGTGACTTGAGTGATTCCTGTAAATTTGGAGATGCCCTATCTTAAGCCGCCACCACCATCACGTCTTTTTCCCTGCTTTTAGCTTTGCGTCTTTATACCCGTGTCTATATTCAGTTCCAGAGTCTACGTCTACTTATTTTAGAGTTAACTATTAGTATACTACCCTGTGTCTATATTCCTTTGAATCCTTTGAACTAGTGGATAAAAGAAACTCCTAAATCCTAACGGTCTGGGACTACCGACCAGGATTGAGCATTGAGCTCAGTTTCTGGAGCTGTTTCAGATGCAAATAAATCAAATGAACTATAGCATAAAAATAAGTAGACTCTGTATATATGATTTAAGATCTAAGTATAAGTGATTCAATCGAATTAAATCAGTTGAGGAAAAATGTTCAGAAAAGGGATTTACAGCAAGACTGTACACTGATGCTTTATTTCTTCTCTTTAACTATGGTCTGGGACAAACAGAGGATTGAGCATTGGGCTCAGTTTCTGGAGCTGTTTCAGATGTAAATAACTTCAATGAACTATACCACAAATCAGCAGTTGTGTTAAACTGTCCTTGTTGTCTATTTCAAGTCCATTGGCAAAATATTAGTTGCAATATCGCCAGTTGTAGTTTCATCTTTATTCTTAGTTACTGACTGCACATGCAAGATGCTTTGCCTTGGTTACTGCATTTAAAGGTTTGCCTTAGCTACTGCATTTTAAAGGTTGGCCTTAGCTGCTGCATTTATAGGTTCATTATCCTTTTTCATCAATCCAGTCGCAAAAGAGGTAATATAAAAAATCATTCATTGGAAACCTGCTCCATTGGCGTGAGATCATTGGTATGAAAGAGATGATACAGACCATCATTCAAGGAATAAATCAAACATATCTACTAGACTCTGTTTGTGCTAACTTCAGATACTTGTTTATATCGAACAACAACAACAACAACAACAACAACATAGCCTTTCAGTCCCAAGCAAGTTGGGTTAGGCTAGAGTTGAAACCCACCAAGAGCCCCAAGTCACGGTTCAGGCACTTCAATAGCTGCTTTCCAAGTACTCCTATTCAAACATAGATCTCTAGTTATATCTCAAGCTTTCAAATCTCTTTATTCCCTCCCCCCATGTCAATTTCGGTCTTCCTCTACCTCTCCTCATATTATTAGCTTGGCTTAGGACTCCACAATGCACTGGTGCCTCTGGAGGTCTCCTTTGGACATGGCCAAACCACCTCAACCGATGTTGGACAAGCTTTTCTTCAATTGGTGCTACCTCTAGGCGATCACGTATATCATCGTTCCGAACTCGGTCCATTCTTGTGTGACCGCAAATCCATCGCAACATATGCATTTCTGCAACACTCAGTTGTTGAACATGTCGAATCTTTGTAGGCCAACATTCTACTCCATACAACATAGCCGGTCTAATCGCCGTTCTATCGAAGAAAGTTTCACAAAATACAAACTGAATCTTCATCCAAGTCTTAGCTTCATCCATCTCAGTGCTTCTGCTTGCGTCTTCCGGTCCATAAAGAAGTTATTAACAAAAGGGGTCTTCTAGATCGTAAGTAACCAACCAGTATTCTATCTAACAGCTAAGCATTTGATGAGGTTGCAAATGTTGACTTTTTTGGGGCTTTATTGCTTGATACCCTTTGTCCTACTGTAAGTTGCAGGCTTTCCATACAATGGATAGAATTTTTGTTTCCTGCACATAATTAGTGGATGAATGATATCTATTTTCAGTGGGTGAATTGATTAGAAAAGTTTCCATCTCACATGTGTTTTTGTATAATCTATAATCAGACATGCCCAGGAACCTAACAGAGGTTGTGCACGCCTAACTAAGAGGGGGATATAAACATTCTTAAGTGGACACTCTGATCTACCTTGTCAAATCATGCTTATTTTCAAAATAAGAGGGGATATGTTTCTTTCTCCTCTTAAGATGTTTATCTTTTTCCTGTGTTTGATCTTTGTTGGTACAAGATATATTTATATGTGTTTTCTCCACAGCATCAGAAGTACTTTGCATGCTTTTTGTAGAAAGAATTATGGTAACTGAATGGCCGCTAGCCATCCTAGACACAAATGGTTCAGCTTAGATGCTGATTTGTGAACAATAGAAAATGGGAATCTTCACTTTCAGCTATCAAACATATTCGTTGCCTCTTATCGTCTTCTTTGTGAACTACAATCTGAATGGAAATTTGTGTGTAGCTAATGACACACTTGGTGGAAATGTATTTCTAACTCCTTTCAGTTTACTTCCCTGATCACCTTGCTTCTTCTGACGAGTTTTCAGGTTCAAACTAGGTTCTGTTTCCCAAAAGTGGAGCTCCAAGATAACAACTAAGCTATGGGTACACATTGAAGTTTAACAAGGATGTGTTACATGAGCTTGGAAGAAAATTGGTTAGTATTGCTACCTGTTTGAAATGTTTTAGATGAAAATAACTATGCATGGGTGAAATAAGCAATACTCTAAAATATAGGATCCTACTGATGATTTTTTGGATATATAATGCTCTATTTAATACTTCCACGTGCTAAGGTGTTGCATGTGGTTGGTCGAATCACAGGTAAATCCCTAGCACCGGCAGCCATATATGGCACATGAGGGCTTGGAAGCAGTTCACTAGGTACTGGTCACAGTTTGTAAAATAAGACCACAAGAATACTATGAAATTAATCATTTGCAGTCTTGCAGACTACTGTTTGAACCACAAGTTTACAATAATTTAGAGTTGCACACTTTGGTAACCGACATGTTACTCTGCACTTTGTGCATATAATTAGTGAACTGACATGCTACTCATTTTGTTTGTGCAGTTATTTGGATAGTAGAAGGACAAAGAACTTTCGCATCTAGGCATCTAGCACTAGTGCCGGTGCTGCCACGCCCTCGCGTCCTGATTGCCCTCCCACCGCTCACCGTCACTGCAAAATCATTTGTCCCTCAAACCCTCCTCTCAGAACCACGATTTGATGCATCGCCTCGCCCGCCCAGCCTCCACCCTGCTCGGTAGCTCCGTGAGGAGTGGCCCCTGCGCGCTCGCCACTGATGTACAAGGACTGTTCGACGAAATGCCTCCGCCTCCTGCTCCACCAAAACTGCCATGCCACACACTGTTTGGCCATGCCTGCCAGATGCTCAGCCGAACGCACACGTCAGGGTTTTGTACTGTGGCTCGGCAGTCCACGGATGAGCACGCCAATGCAGTGCCACTGCGATTCACAGTCGCACCAAGCGACGCCATTGGGGATGGCCCGCCTGTGGGCATGTCAGAGGCTGCTAAGATGGTGTGTCGTATTGTGTCCACGCAACCAGAACCAAGGATTGCGTCGACGCTTGATGCGCTTGGGGTGGCCATGTCTCCAGAGCTGGTAGCTGAAGTGCTCAAGAACTTGAGCAATGCTGGGATGCTAGCACTTGCCTTCTTCCGCTGGGCAGAGAGGCAGGAGGGCTTCAGTTACACGGCTGAGGGCTTCCACAACCTGATTGAGGCACTTGGCAAGATCAAGCAGTTCAGGCTGGTGTGGAGCTTGGTGGAGACCATGCGGTGCCGGGGCTTGCTGTCTAAGGACACATTCAAGCTCATCGTTCGAAGGTATGCTCGGGCTAGAAAGGTCAAAGATGCTGTTGAGACATTCGAGAAGATGAGCGTTTTTGGGCTTAAAACTGAGTTGTCGGATTACAACTGGCTGATTGACACGCTAAGCAAATCCAAACAAGTGAAGAAGGCACAAGCCATCTATAAGGAGGTGAAGAGGAAGGGTAAGTTTGTACCTGATTTGAAAACCTACACTGTCCTCATGGAAGGATGGGGCCATGAGAAAGATCTGTTGATGGTGAAAACAATGTACCAAGAAATGATTGATGCTGGCATTAGGCCTGATGTTGTTGCCTACGGGATGCTGATTAGCGCCTTCTGCAAGTCTGGCAAATGTGATGAGGCCATCAAGGTGTTCTACGAGATGGAAGCAAGTGGTTGCATGCCAAGTCCTCATGTTTACTGCATGCTTATCAATGGCCTTGGCTCAGAGGCGAGGCTTGATGAAGCTTTGAAGTACTTTGAGCATTATAAGAAAAGTGGGTTCCCCATGGAGGTGCCTACGTGCAATGCGGTTGTTGGAGCTTACTGCAGAGCCTCAAAGTTTCAGCATGCTTTCAAGATGGTTGAGGAGATGAGGAAGTGTAAAATTGGCCCAAATTCCCGTACTTATGATGTAATTCTTCATTATCTGATAAAATCACAGAAATTTGAGGAGGCTTATATATTATTCCAGAGAATGGGAATGGACGGCTGTGAGCCTCAGCTCAATACATATACAATGATGGTTGGCATGTTCTGTAGTAACGGAAGAGTTGATATGGCATTGAAGGTGTGGAAGCAAATGGGGGAGAGAGGTGTCCTCCCATGTATGCATATGTTTTCGGCATTGATCAATGGGTTATGCTTTGAGAACAGGCTCGAAGAAGCTTGTGTATATTTCCAGGAGATGCTGGACAAAGGAATTAGGCCACCTGGTCAGCTTTTCAGTAATTTGAAGGAAGCTCTTGTTGAAGGAGGGAGAATAAGTTTGGCACAAGAGATGGCTTTGAAGTTGGACGCAATAAGGAAACAACCTTTTCGTGGTTAAGAAATGCTTTTGTTCATAAAAACAGTGTAGCGCCTGTTACCCAGTCATAATATTTGGGCATACCAATAGCTCCAGCAATGGACAAGCAATGTGTATTCAGATCACAGAAACGAAATTTTGGCTATCAACTAAATAGTCTTTGTATGAAAACTTGATGAAATCAATATAAGATGCTTATATTCGTGAGTTTGCAAAAGAGATTTGCTGTATACTCCGTAAGTAACTAACAAAAAAAAAAAAACCCTAGCTTCAGCATGTTTCATTGTCTTTGTGTAAGTTTATCATGACTTGCGCTGTTACTTCACAGTTTTCTCAGCATATAACACAATGACGCAATATTAACTGGTTTCAAGGTAGACATACGAAGGGCGGGTCTGGTGCAAGTGGTAGAGTCTGACCGAAAGGTCCTGAGTTCGAGTCGTGATCTCCTCATATTGCACAGACGAGGATAAGGTTTGCCATTAACATCCTTTCCTAGACCCCGCACAGAGCTTTGTGCGGGAGCTCTCTGCACTGGATACGTCCTTTTTTCAAGGTAGACATACACATCAGGTTCACTAGACTGATCATGCTCGATAAGCTTTGGTAGGGCTCAACACTCAACAGCATACAGATTACAACATCACGAGTACATCATACTGTGCGACAGAAAGTACAGCCGGATTACATAAACACTAATACATCAATCTATTGTAATAAATTTCCAATAGGTCTTGAGTATCTAGTCGATCTGCTACTCTGTTTTCAAGAAGAGCCCAAGTAGACTCTGCTAGATCTCCGTGGTGTGCTACTCTGCTTTCAAGAAGTGCCCAAGTAGACTCTGCACCGGGCAGCCACGACGAGCAGGAAAACGCCGCTCCGAGGTGACAGCGTACTCCACCGGGGTGGTGATCCCTAGCTGCCTCAAGTGTCTCGGGTGTATCCAGTCGAAGATGGGCTTCGCCTTCGCGTTCCTCTCCATCTCTTCTAGCTTTTTGTAGGCTCTCTGCCTCTCGCGCTTCTTCTCAAAAGCTTTGGCAGAGAAATGACCAACGGTGCCTTGTGCAGCCACAGCCCTCTCGCGCTTCTTCTCATAACCCTTGGCACAGAAATGACGAACAGTGCCTTGTGCAGCTGGTTGCGGCTTCGATGGCTCGGGATGGACGGCAGGAGCCAGGCTGCTTCTGACGCATTGGCCATTGGCAGATCCTGTACTGTTGACAGCTTCAGCAAACTTCTCTGCAGCCACAGGGGAGGTGCCGTGCTCTTCTTCTATCTCGCCATCTTCAAGTAATGAACTGTTGCTTCTTCGGCTGTTCTCGGTTTCAGCAAACTTCTCTGCAGCCACTGGGGAGGCGCCGTGCTCTTCTTCTATCTCACCATCTTCAAGTAATGAACTGTTGCTGCTTCTTCGGCTGTTCTCGGTTTCAGCAAACTCCTCTTCAGCAATAGGACTACAACCTTGTGTGGCATTTGTTACAATATGTGTCGAATATTATGTACGAGTTTGGTTACGCTAGGACTCTAAGTTGTATTTGGCAGTATATGGTAAAGTTGGAGTAGGACTCCGTAATCATGTCTCCTCATAAATATGAGAGGAGGACTGCTGTTGTAACCATGACGACATAGCGACAGTGTTCGTAGGACGGCGGTGGCACGTTGTCCGGACCCTGGAGCGGCCGGTGTTGCTGGTATTGGGGAGTGTGGCAGAACCATCTAATCCAATGTCTTATAGGAGTACTTGCCTTTCATTAGACACTAAGTACTCAAGAAAGGACACTAAACTACGCAGTTCCGTCGAGCACACCCTAAGGTAAAACTCGAAAATCCACATTTTTCCATCAAGATCATAAATGAGAGAATAAAGCTTACAACATTCTTAAGTCATTTCTTACATCACTTTATTACAGTACCAGAATATTACCTCAATTAATTATAACAGCAGAATATAACAATGTTATCAAAGTTACAGAAGAAGCAAAATTAATTTAATGACATGGTGGAGCATTAACATAGTGGATATTTTTATACCAGAGATGCTATCAAATTTTACATCTTTTCTTATAAAAATCTTTAGCAAGGGTTATAAATAAACACTACGATCATAGCGAAAAAAAAGAATCCTCTCTGAGCCCACCAGAAGGTTTCCACACACAAGAGTCAGCTGTAAGTATCTTTCGATCACCTACAACAGGGGGAATAAAACCCTAAGTACTCGATTATACTCAGCAAGACTTACCCGACAGGAGAAAAATAAAAGACTCCAAGGATATGCAAGGCTCACTTGGCTTGTGGGTTATGGCATCTGCAGAAGCATTACTAAACGTGCGTCCTTTTATTCGATTTTATTAGCAATCATCGTTAGTTCATTAACTATCCATTCTATGTAAGCACTTATGCTACTCTCAAGCAGGTGGTAAGCAATCAAAACTATTTTACCATCTTTAATATTCTAGTTCTTACTACGGTACCAGACCGTAGACAAGTCGGTACCGTCTCATAGAAACGGCGATTCGCGAACCAATATATCCCAGCTGGGTACCCTGAAACACACGCCCCGTTTTTACCCAGGCACAAACAAGACCAACCAATTCCACTCCTGTCACAGGTTCTGGGTCCCCATCCAAACTTGGACTCAAGCCCCCCACACTTGAAAGGTCCTAATGGCTAGAGAGGGGGGGTGAATAGCCTAATAAAATTTCTACAACAACACTTAATCAAAATGGTTAGACAATTATGAGGCGAAGCAAGTGTTGCGCTAACCTACTTAAAATGCAAGCCGCCTACCGCAATTCTAGTTCAGATAGTATCTAATCACACAATAGCTATGACACTACTCTATGTTAGTGTGCTCTCAAAGGCTAACTAAAGAGCCACACCAACCAAGCAAACAAGCTCTTACAACTAGCTGTACTAAAGAGCTTGACAACTAGTTTGCGGTAAGGTAAGGAGTAGGCAAGAAGGTTATACCGCCGTGTATATATATGAACCAATCAATCACAAGTGTGGATAACAATGAAGACCAATCACCTCGGAATCAATATGATGAACACAATGATTTTTTATCGAGGTTCACTTGCTTGCCGGCAAGCTAGTCCTCGTTGTGGCGATTCACTCACTTGGAGGTTCACGCGCTAATTGGCCTCACACGCCAAACCCTCAATAGGGTGCCGCACAACCAACACAAGATGAGGATCACACAAGCCACAAGCAATCCACTAGAGTACCTTTTGGCGCTCCGCCGGAAAAAGGTCAAGAACCCCTCACAATCACCATGATCGGAGCTGGAGACGATCACCACCCTCCGCTCAACGATCCTCGCTGCTCCAAGCCGTCTAGGTGGCGGCAACCACCAAGAGTAACAAGCGAATCCCGCCGTGAAACACGAACATCAAGTGCCTCTAGATGCAAACACTCAAGCAATGCACTAGGATCACTCCCAATCTCACAAAGATGATGAATCAATGATGGAGATGAGTGGGAGGACTTTGGCTAAGCTCACAAGGTTGCTATGCCAATGCAAATGGCCAAGAGAGTGAGCTTGAGCCGGCCATGGGGCTTAAATAGAAGCCCCCACGAAATAGAGCCGTTGTACCCCTTCACTGGGCACTGATCGGGGTGACCGGATGCTCCGGTCCTACTGACCGGACGCTGCTCCTCAGCGTCCGGTCGCCCGATGGCGGCCACGTGTCACCTGCGTTCAACTGTGAACGTTTGATCTCAACGGTCGAAAAGTTGACCGGACGCTCCGATAGAACTAACCGGACGCTGGACCCTCAGCGTCCGGTCATTTCCAGTAAGGGTCCAAATCCTATTTTTGCCGACCGGACGCGTCTGGTCACGCTTGATCGGACACAGCCCAGCGTCCGGTGCTTAACCCTAATCACTGTGCCATCTAACAGCTCGACCGGACACGGCCTTTCAGCGTCTGGTCGCTGAGTGACCCAGCGTCCGGTCAGAAGACCGATGACAGCATCATTGCGACCAACTCCATTTCACCTCTAACTTCTTCACCCTTGTTCAAATGTGCCAACCACCAAGTGTATTACCTTGTGCACATGTGTTAGCATATTTTCTCAAACATTTTCAAAGGTGTTAGCACTCCACTAGATCCTAAATGCATATGCAATGAGTTAGAGCATCTAGTGGCACTTTGATAACCGCATTCCGATACGAGTTTCACCCCTCTTAATAGTATGGCTATCAATCCTAAATGTGATCACACTCTCTAAGTGTCTTGATCACCAAAACAAAATAGCTCTTACAAATTATACCTTTGCCTTGAGCTTTTTGTTTTTCTCTTTCTTTTTTTCCAAGTCGAAGCACTTGATCATCACCATGCCATCATCTTTATCATGCTATGATCTTCATTTGCTTCACCACTTAGAGTGTGCTACCTATCTTATGATCACTTGATAAACTAGGTTAGCACTTAGGGTTTCATCAATTCATCAAAACCAAACTAGAGCTTTTAATCTCCCCTTTTTGGTAATTGATGACAACCCATATACAAAGATATGAAATAAGATTCAATTGAATCCATGTTGCTTGTCCAAGCATGTTTACCATTTGTAAAAGGATATGGACAAGTTTCATGAACCCCAAATGGTAGCAATTTCTCCCCCTACATATGTGCTAAGAGTTTGGATTTTAGCTTGCACATATGCTTAGATAGGAAATATAGGAGACAATATCTACCAAGTGATGCTAAGGTATAAAAGATGGACCTTTAAAGCGTGATACCAATCGGAGTGCACCATTATACCATCCTTAGCACCATGGTTAGCTTGATACCACTTGGAAACAACACTTTGAAAATGAAGTCATTAGATGTCCTATGCATGCTAGTTTTTCAATTCATCATTCAAACCTACAACTAGCATACGCCACACAAGCATGGATATTGAAATTTAAAACTTGTGTTATGCAAGCAAACATATGAAATGCACATTCAAATGCACCAAACAAGTTCATGAGCTTGCTCCCCCTACTTGTGTGCTCAAAATTTTAATTGATCCATTTCCTTTGTCATATCTCTCCCTTATTTCAAGTTCTCCCCCTATCACTTATATCTTTATTTCTCTCCCCCTTTGTTGTCTTTTCATTATCTTTGTACACTATTTCTCCCCCTTTGTCATCAATGACCACAAAGGTTTAAGAAGTAGATAGGTTGAGATTATCAATGTCAATCAATGGGGTGAGGATCATATTCTCAAAATTGGTTCAAACTAGATTATTTGCCAAAAATATTTAACTCGGTTTGATCCAAGGACAAGCTTCTTCACACCTCCTAATAAGGGTTATCTTGTACCATGTTGAGTTGAACACTTAGAGCTTATTTTCTAGATTAAACACTAGGTTTACAAGCCCATAAACAAGTCATATGCTATCACTAGATCAAGTCAAGCATAGAAGCAATAGTGATACCATATAAACATCAAATACATTTGATTTTCATGAATGAGCCTAATAAAATGGAGAGATGACTAGATGCACTAAATGTGTCCTTAGCAAGGATGTATGCCATGCCAATCAACTTTTACCTTGGATTGCTCGAAGGAGAGGCATGTCATATAAGTGGGGGGTGCATCAACACATATTTGAGAAATCCAATATGTTCAACTCATTCCTTAGCTTGCAAAACCTTTTCTCATCCAATGGCTTGGTGAATATATCGGCAAGTTGATCTTTGGTGCCTACACTCTCAATGCAAATCTCCCCTTTTTGTTGGTGATCTCTTATGAAATGGTGGCGGACATCAATGTGCTTTGTTCTTGCATGTTGAACCGGATTATTGATCAACTTGATTGCACTCTCATTGTCACATAGTAATGGCACTTTCTTGAACTTGATTCCAAAGTCACTCAAAGTGGCCTTCATCCAAAGTATTTGTGCACAACAACTACTGGCGGATATGTATTCGGCTTTGGCGGTTGATAATGCAACACTATTTTGCTTCTTTGATGACCATGAAACAAGTGATCTTCCCAACAATTGACATGTGCCCGAGGTGCTCTTCCTTTCAACCTTGCATCCCGCATAATCCGAGTTGGAATAACCAACTAGCTCAAACTTAGCTCCTTTGGGATACCACAAACCAACATTTGGTGTATTCTTCAAGTACCTCAATATTCTCTTTGTAGCCTTCAAATGACTTTCTCTTGGTGGGGCTTGAAATCTTGCACACATGCATACACTAAACATGACATCCGACCTTGATGCGGTCACGTAGAGTAGACTTTCAATCATAGACCGATACAACTTTTGATCCACCATGTTTCCACTTGCATCACTATCCAAGTTGCCATTGGTTTCCATTGGTGAGCTAATGACTTTGCTATCACTCATGCCAAACTTCTTGATCATGTCCTTGATGTACTTGCCTTGACTCACAAAAGTACCATTCTTCAATTGTTTGATCTGAAGACCAAGGAAGTAACTTAACTCTCTAATCATGGACA